TTTAATGTGCCAGTGCCCTACTTCACTCCCTTGGCATCTTGCTTCACTTACCAAGTTTTCATGAATTAAATATTTAAAATGCATCAGCCAGAACTTGCTGTTCAGAGAAATTTTCAGTGAGTTGTTTGATAATATGAAGATTGATATACAATGTTCTAAAAGCAGGGCCCATGAGTAATACTTTCCTTTTACATGATAACCATTAATAATCTAGAACCTGAAGTGAGAGATGTGGGCCATGATTAGACTGCCTAAGACCACAGCTTCCCTTCTGCTCTTCTGCAAGCACTTGACTTTATGCACATTGGCAATCCTTAACTTGGGCAAAGGACTAGTGGGAAGTGTTAGAGAGAGGGACAAAGTTCTCATAACTAACAAAAGTTTACTTAGCCTCAGGCTTCTGAGGCTCAATATTAATTCTGAGCCCCCTTTCTATGCCAGGTAGACTGGACACAAAGATGAATAAGGCATGCCCTTTACTATCCAGAGGAGAAAACAGATGAATAACTATACAGTTTACTACATGCTCCAAAATTTATATATAAACAAGACCCATGCCTTGCACCATACACAAAAACAAACTCAATGTGGATTAAAGACCTAAATGTAAAACCTAAAACTATAAAGATCATCAATGAAAAAGTAGGGTAAACTTAGGGGCTCAAATACATGACATAAATGCACTATCAAACATAAATAAAGACAGTAGAAAACAAAATAGATGACTGGGACCTCCTAAAAATCAGGGACTTACAAGCATCAAAAGATTTTCACTGAAAAAGTAAAAATGGAGGTCACATTCTGGGAAAAAATTTTTTTTTGCAACAACATATCAGACAAGGGACCAATCACTAAAATTTTAATATAGAAAATTACAACAACTCTATAAGAAAAAGACAATCCAATTGAAAAATGGGGACCGGACATGAACAGACACTTCACTAAGGAAGACATTCAGGCAGCCAATGAGCATATGAAAAATGTTCACGATCATTAGCAATTGGAGAGATGTAATTCAAAACAACAATGAGATGTCATCTCACACCAGCATTAATGGCAAAGTTCAATAAAAACAGAAAGCAACAAATGCTGGCAAGGGTGTGGAGAGACTGGAACCCTCTAACATTGCTAGTGGGACTGTAAAATGATGTAACATCTGTATAAAATGATATTGCACTTCCTTAGAAAGTTAGAAATAGAAATACCTTATGACCCAGCAATCTCTCTATTTGACATAAGAGGCAGCACATGAGTAGATATAGGCACACCAATGTTCATCGCATCATTATTCACAATAGCAAGTAGATGGAGACAGCCTAAATTCCCATCAGTGGAAGAATAGATAAACATACTTTGGTACATACACACAATGGAATACTTTGTGCAATATTGAAGAATACTGATGAATCTGTGAAATACCTCATAATGTAGATGAACTTGGAGGACATTATACTGAGTGAAATTAGTCAGGACAAATGTATCAAACCACTATAGTAAACGCTCAAGAAAAGTTTTTCATACTAAAAGAAATATTCTTTGATGGTTACCAGGGGTAGGAGGGAACGGAGAGTAATGCACTCGCTAGAAGGTAGACAAATGCTAACTTGGGTGATGTTGTTGTTGTTAAGTGCCGTCGAGTCGGTTCCGACCCATAGCGACCCTGTACAGGGTTTCCGAGGGTGTAAATCTTTACAGGAGTAGAAAGCCTCATCTTTCTCCCGCGGAGCGGCTGGTAGTTTCGAACCGCTGACCTTGGGTGATGGGGAGGGCAATATACTAGCAGGGGAGGACAATGTACAAGCAGAGGGAGGTTGGTAGAATAATGATGAAGACAGGTGAAGACACAGGGAAGTATGAAAGGGCTAAACATCTTAAGTTCATTGTCTTAAGATGTTTGATAATATCTAAGAAGTTTTCATCTGTTTGCCCCCTGTATGCTCCACCACATTCATAGTTGTGTTTGCAGGAAAGATAAATACCCATGAACCAATATCTTCTTTCAAATTCGTATATACTTGTGCAATCTATCTATCTATGTACATATATATATATTCATATATGCCTTACTCTTCCTCCCCATTCAGCCTGTGTCTCTAGACATTTATCTACCCACAGAACATTGTTGTTCCAGGGTTGTGTATATATCACTATTTACCTTAAGTCAGCTCTGACTTGTGCAACCCTATGTGTCAGAGTAAGGTTTCCAATGACAGATTTTTCCCAAGTAGATCACCATGTCTTTCTTTTGAGGTACCTCTGGGTAGATTTGAACCTCTAACATTTTGGTTAGTATTGGAGTACATTAGTCCTTTGTATCACCCAAGGATTTTACTTTCTTGAAGGGAGATTTAAATATGTTCCACTAATCTGATTCTGCTGCATAAGACCTTTTTAAAGTGTTGAAGAGCAAAGATGTCAGCTTGAGGACTAAGGTGCACCTGACCCAAGCCATGGTATTTTCAATAACCTCATATGCATGCAAACACTGGACAGTGAATAAGGAAGAATGTAGAATAATTGATGCATTTGAGTTATGGTGTTGGAGGAGAATATTGAAAGTGCCATGGGCTGCCAAAAGAGCTAATAGATCTGTGTTGGAAGAAGTGCAGCCAGAGTGCTCCTTGAAGGTCAAGATGGCCAAACTTCATCTCTCATACTTCGAACATATTGTCAGGAGGGATCAGTCGCTGGAGAAGGATATCATGTTTGGTAAGGTGGAGGGTCAGAGAAAAAGAGGAAGACCCCCAGCAAGAAGGATCGGCAAAAAGGCAGTCTCAATGGGCTCAAGTGTGGCAACAATTGTTAGGTTGTCCCAGGACTGGGCAGTGCTTCGTTCTGTTATGTATAAGGTCGCTATGAGTCAGTACCGACTCAACAACAACAATCTGATTCTCTAGGAGTCCTGGTGTGGTGCTGTGGGTTAATGTGCCAGACTGCAAAGTCATTTGAACTTTAAGGTAGGGGGTTCAAGCTCACCAGCCACTCCTTGGAAACCCTATACAGGGTTGCTGTGGGTCAGAACCGACTTGACGGCACATAACAACAACAATAATCGAATTCTCTTGGTCCTTTTTAACAGGGCATGATAAAATACATGTGAAGTTAAAAAAAAATATCCCCATGTGGTTTTATACAACTGTACTTTGATTATGCAAGTTAAGATGATTATTTTTATTACTGCTATAATTTTCAGGGCAATTCATAAATATTTCTGGTAAGAATCGTACTTATAACCATTTTTCTTCTTTGTTCTTCATCTCTTTATTCATTCCTTTCTTGTTCTCTTCCTTCCCTCCTTCCTTTTAGTCTTTGACTTTCCAACTCATCTCCCTTGCATACCAGTCTTTCTTCTAATACCACCATTGTCCTATCACCATTTTCTTATCACCATTGTCATATCAATGACTAGGTGGATCTGAGTAGCAGGGGAGAGGATGGAAAGAGAACTGCCAAAACCATTGCCAGTTTAATCTTTGCCCACAACCGAAGAAAACCAGATAGTACCCTGATATGAGTTCTATTTTTCTTTTGGAGAAAGCACCATCATTTGAACCTTGCCAAATCATAATGTTTCTCATAGATTGTGCTTAGGCAATACCAAAAATTTTGTAATTCCCTACCTTTATGACTCTCTGCCTAGAAGTCTACCCACTTCTCCACACTGATTTGACTTGCATCTGGTTAACACCTCAGGAAAGACTTTTCTGACTCCGTTAGTCTGTACTAAGTGAATACTTTTTGTATATCACTTTTTAAAAATCTTTTATTGTGAATTGAGTAAAGGTTTACAAACACGATCATCAGTTTTACATTCAATAAATCAAGCACTTTGTTTCACCTCAATGATTGCAATCCCCTCCATGCAACAACGGTTATCCTTCCTCCTCGTGATTTCTATTTCCATTCCACCTACCATCCCGTCCTTTCTTAACTTTGTCCTCAGGTAAACGTTGTCCTTTTGTTTTTGAATCACTAACCATTCCATTTGAATGATTGACCATTCCATTGTTGTCCACCCCACATACCTGTCTACTGCTGGACTGAAAGTTGGGCCACTAGAATGGATTCCTTTCAAGACCTAAATGGTGGTTGAGGGCTATTCTTTCAGCCTGTTTCTGACCAGCAAGCCCGGTCTTTTTCTTTTTTTCTTAATAATTTTTAGGAGTGTTCCACATATTCTGCTGCTATATCAGGGACATTGTAATGTGATCCCTTTCTGAGAAGTTGGTAGTGGTACCATCAAATTCTTCTGGTCTCAGAATCATGTTCCATTTGTCCATTGGGATAATTGATTCTGAGCCTCTTCAATTCTCACTACTCTTCTTTCTTCTGCACATGGTTGCTGTTGTTAAATGCTGTTGAGTCAGTTCTGACTCATAGCAATCCTGCATAGTGTCTCCAAGGAGCAAGCTGATGGGTTTGAACTGCCAACCTTGTGGTTTGCAGTCCAGTGCTGATCCTATAGCGCCACACACCAGAAGTCCCCTTTTTCTGGTTGTTGTTGTTGTTGTTGTTAAGTGCCATCGAGTCGGGTCCGACCCATAGCGACCCTGTTCATGGTTTCCGAGGGTGTAAATCTTTACGGGAGTAGAAAGCCTCATCTTTCTCCCGCGGAGCGGCTGGTAGTTTCAAACCGCTGACCTTAAGGTTCGCAGCCCGATTCGTAACCACTAAAACTTTACCTTTACCTTTTTAGTTAAGAGATTGAAGTCTTCCAGAAGAAAAGCAACTCAACAGAAAGGTTGTGAACAGAAGCTTTGGGGCTTGTAATTCTGAAGTTCAGTTCTAGTTTTTTTGCATAATAATTTGGTACATTGCACTAGACGTTTACTAATCTCTCAGACCCCTGGTCTCTGAATGCCTACCATACAGATATGCTTGAGGATTAAATGAAATTGTGTTTAAGAAATTTGGTAGGCCTCTCATTTTTAAGAGTACAAATCAAAAACTTGATATTAAGATAATTTTTACAGGAAATTAAAATGTCAGAGATAGCTTACCCTTTGCAGGAAAAAATATCTGGTGACTTCATTGTAGTAAAAGAAGGGATTTGTTTCTCATCTTGTATTTTCAGCTGTATAGGCCGTTTTACTCCCCAGAATATGTCCAGCATTCCTTCAACAATAAGTTGGCCATCTTCAGTCTAGGGAAGAAACCCCAAATATTGTTTTTGTGTTATTAATAGAAGGTAAATGTCTTCAGTGAGTGAAGATATAGAAGTTAAATCTTTAAGCCATTTTAATAGAATCTTTATAAGCCCCAGAAGGAATTGTTTGGCTTCTAAATGTATCTATAAAACAATTATATTTTTTTAAAACAATCTTAAGTCCTAATGGTAACAAACTACGGGACATAATATGCTAAAATGCTTTGTTAACTACGATTCGCCAACTAAAGGAATGTTTAATTTTTCTAATTCTGTTTAATTTTAAGCTATAGGAGACATAAAAACTGTACAAAATTAGAAATTTTTGCAAGAAGCTATTGAGAAACTCAATGGACGGTTCCTCGTTTGTTCTGAACAGGAAAAAATTAAGTTAAGTTATGCAGAACAAATAATTTGTATGAAAACATATTGTAAAATACAAACATTTTAGAAATGTGTTTTTTAGAATTTGAAGGACTTCTTTTAATTAAAATTATTCTAGCAAAAAGGGGAAAAACAATACAAAAAAATGATTGAACACTTACTTACACTTTAGATAGAAAGCAATAATAGAACAAGACATATTCCCAAAGAATTTTTTTTCCAGTCTTTTTTGCTTTCTATTTTAAACATTTGCTGTTAAAGTAATGTGTCATTATAGGAAATTTGTAAAATGTAGAAACAATGAAGAATTGTATTCCAAATACCCAAACCTAACTTCTGTTGTGAAAAATCAATTATTAAACAACATAAACATGATTCAATTCGAATTTAAGAGCATTATGATAAAATGTCAGGTTCTGGAGTCAGATAGACCTATGTGCAAACGCTGGCTCTGCCACTTCCTGTTGGTGTGACAAATTGCTTAATGTCTTTAAGCCTGAGCTTCCTCTTCTGAAAAATGGACATTCTGATGGTTCCTAATTCTTTGGATTTGGTATTCAATTAATGCTGAATAAATGTTATAATTATTTTTCTGGATGATAAGTCTACTTTGAAATCACTTTTAAAACAAAATTTTGCTTTTTCCCATTTTTGTGTTTGCATCTCAGATTACCGAGGGATCAGGCTACCAGTCAGGCAATTCTAATAAGTAAATATAATGTGATCTTTAAAATGGCACTGCAGGATACAGATTCTGAGGTTGAATGATGGACTTACAGCATCCTTTCTTTGCATAAAACCAAACCCAACCCATGACTTTTGAGTCCCATTCCCTATTTGGAGTTTCTGAGATGGTAAATCTTTATAAGAGTAGACAGCCTCATCTTTCTCTGGCAAAACAACTAACTGTTGGGTTTGGGCTTCTGACCTTGCAGTTAGCAATCCAGTGCTTACTTTACAGTGCCACCATGGCTCCTCTTGGTATGTTGTTGTTGTTAAGTGCTGTCAAGTTGGTTCTGACTCATAGTGACCCTCTCCAGAGTTTCTGAGGGGTGGCTCGTGGGTTTGAACCACTAACCTTGTAGTCAGCAGTCTGATGATTATCCTATAGCCCTACAGGACTCCCCTTCTTTGCATAACAAGAGACAATTAATCCTTTGCATAAAACTCATAGAATAACTGCTCTCCTCAGATTATCTAATTCTTGTGTTCAAGGAGAAATAGTCCTATTATTTGCAGATTTTTTTTTTCATGTAGTGCATAACAGAATATTTGCTAAAATCAGAGAACATCTCATTATACATCAACTAAATAAAATTTCCCAGAATACTTATTTATATTTATGTAATATATAATCATTGTCTCAATTAGTGGATTTCTTTTAGATCTATGTCAGTATTGTTGATCTCAACTAGTTTTAAAATCTGTTGCTCTTACCCATGAAGGCCCTGTGAATGCCCAAGCAGAACTGTGCTCTACAGAGCTTTCAATAGCTGATCTCTTTGGAAGGTGATCACCAGGCATTTCTTCTAAAATGCTTCTAGGTGGACTTGATCTAATCTACAATATTTTGGTTAGCAGCTGAGGGTGTTAATCTTTTCCATTACCCAGGGATTCTGAACCAATAAATAACAGTTGTTACAAATAACAATCTTCAAACCAGTGGTGGTGGTGGCTGTGTGCCATGGAGTTGGTTCTGACTCAAAGCGACCCTGTACAGGATTTCCGAGGCTGTAAATCATTATGGGAGCAGAAAACCTCATCTTTCTCCCACGGAACAGCTGGTAATTTTGAACTGTTGACCTAGAGGCTCACAGCCTGATTCATAACCACTACCCTATCAAAGCTCCAAACCAATAGTTCCCATAATTTTATCTCCAGCCCATAGTTCTCCCTTGAACTCCAGCTATCAAGCTGCCTGATGGTGGCAGTTGTAGTTGTGTGCCACCGAGTCAGTTCCAACTCATAGTGACCCTGTATAGGGTTTCTGAGCCCATAAATCTTTATGGGACCAGAAATTCTCACCTTTCTCCCACTGAGCGATTAGTAGCTTCAAACTACTGACCTTGGAATTAGTAGTCCAGCTCACAATCTACTATACTACCAGGGCTCCTTAAACTGCCTAGTCAGCAGCAAACTTAACAGGTTCCTAATTGAACACTCCATCTTTTCCCCATAAATATTTTCCCCTCCCAGTCTTCCTTCTGGACAAACAGCGCTTTCATCCTTCGGTTTCTCAGGCCAAGAATTTTAAAGCCACCCTTAATCTTTCTTTCATACCCAACATCCAGTTCATCATCAAATCCTGTTAGCTCTTTCTTCAAAATAGATCTATAATCTGGCCACATTCCCAACCATTATAAATTGCTGTTATTGTTTATTTGGAGTACTGCAATGGTCTTCTATCTGGTCTACCTCATTCTTTTTTGCCCTTTTATGAGATATTTACAGAAGCTACAGCAGTCCTTTTAAGGAGCTTTAGTAGCACAGTGGTTACGAATCGGGCTGCGAACCTCAAGTCCAGCAATTCGAAACTACCAGCTGTTCCGCTGGAGAAAGATGAGGCTTTCTGTTCCCGTAAAGATTTATGGCCTCAGAAACCCTGTACAGGATCACTATGAGTCGGAACCGACTCCACGGCACATAACAACAACAGCAGTCCTTTTAAAATGTAAACTAGACTATTTCACTTAGTGTGTTATTGTTGTTGCTCAGTCCCGTTGATTCTATTTCAACTCATAGTGACCCAGTATAGGATTTATGAGGAGTAGCTGTTAAGTTTGAACCACTGACCTTGTGATTCATACTACTTTGAGGTCTAATGCTGTGTGGTGGTGGTGGTGGTTATATGCTGTGGAGTTGGTCCCGACTCTTAGCTACCCTGTTTCTTAGGCTGTACATCTTTATGGGAGCAGAAAGTCTTATCTCTCTCTTGTAATGCTGTGTAGGATAACCCAACAATCAAGATATGAGTGGGCTTACTTGTACTTACTCAGTAGCATAGCAAACAATTTCACATTATTTTTACCATGTCGGATTCTCTGGTATGACTGGCATCTGTCTCTCTCCAATCCCAGAGCACCTTTCTACGGGATCTTTTCAAATTTAAACTTCCTCACAAAGATGGAATACCCAGTATGCAAGGCTTATGTACTAGTCCTTAGTGAAGAGTTTCACATGTTTTTGAAACTTTTGTAAAATGGTTCATTACAGATTAGTAAGTAAGCACAGGTAAGCTCATGCTTACCTTGCTTATTGTGTTTTCCACTCCTTCTTCCCCAGTTTCTACTCAAAACCTTCCAACCTTGCAAGTCCAAATCTTTAAAATGGTGTTCATGCCCTGCATGGTTTGGTCCCTTCCCTGTCTCGGTTTTTCTCTGACTTCACCATCTACCACTTTCTCATTTTCACCTGGTTCCTGCCACACTTTCCTCTCTGCTGTGCCTGAGTACGTTGGCTAGGCACAGGACCTTTATTCAAGCTGCCAAGTCTCCCTGGAATGCTTGAGCCACAAAAAACATTGCCTGTCATGTGCTCTCCTCATACTTGTTTCTACATTTGAGCCCATTGTTGCTGCCACTATAATTTAAAAAATGGCTGGAGCAGCACATTGACAGGAATGTGCCAGAGGTTCAAGCCAGATTAAGAGGACATGGAATGAAGGATATCATTGCTGATGTTAGGTGGATCTTGGCTTAAAGCAGAGAATACAAGAGAGATATATGTATCTGTGCTTTATTGACTACACAAAGGCTTTCGATTGTGTGGATCATGACCAACTGTAGATAACATTGCAAAGTGTGTGCATTCCATAACACTTAATTGTGTTTATGAGGAACCTGTACATAGATCAAGAGGCAGTTGTTTGAACAGAACAAGAGAACACAGAATGATTTAAAATAAGTAAAGGTATGAGCCAGGGTTGTATTCTTTCACCATAGTTATTCAATCTTATGCTGAGCAAATAATCTGAGATGCTGAATTATATGAAGGAAAACACGGCATCAGGAAGACTCATTAACAACCTGCGATATACAGATGATATAACCTTGCTGAAAATGAAGAGAATTTAAAACACTGATGAAAAGATTGAAATTGTCAAAGACTTCATTTGCTCAGATCAACCATCAATACTCATGGAAGTAGCTGTCAATAAATCAAATGACATATTGCATTGGGAAAATCTGCTGCACAATACCTCTTTAAAGTGTTCAAGAGCAAAGATGTTAGTTTGAGGACTAAAGTGTGCCTGAACCAAGCCATGGCATTTTCAATAACCTCATATGCATGTGAAAGTTGAACAATGAATAAAGAAGACACTATAAGAATTGATGCATTTGACTTATGGTGTTGGAGGAGAATGAGGAACTTGTACATAGACAAAGAGGCAGCTCTTCGATTAGAAGAAGGGAACACTGAATGGTTTAAAATTGGAAAGGTGTGCACCAAGGTTGTGTTCTTTCACCATACTTATTCAATCTGTATGCTAAACAAATAATCTGAAAGATTGAATTATATGAAGAAAACATGGCATCAGGATTGGACGAAGACTCGTTAATAACCTGTGATATGCAGATGATACAACCTTGCTTTCTGAAAGTGAAGAGGAATTAGAATGCTTACTAATGAAGATCAAAGCCTTCCATATGGGTTACATCTCAATGTAAAGAAAACAAAAATCCTTATCACTGTACCAATAAACAACATCCATATATATGGAGAAAAGATTGAAATTGTCAGACTTCATTTTGGTCAGATCAACCATGAACATTCATGGAAGCAGCAGCCAAGAAATCAAACGATGTATTGCATAAGGCAAATCTGATGGACAATGAATAAGAAAATCTGTAGAAGAATTGATACATTTGAGTTTTGCTGTTGGAGAAGAATATTGAAAGTAACATAGACTGTCAAAAGAACAAACAGAACTGAATTGGAAGAAGTTCATCCAGAATGTTCCTTAGAAGCCAGGATGTCCAGACTTTATCTCTCATACTTTGGAAATATAATCAGAAGGAACTAGTCACTGGAGAAGGATATCATATTTGGTAAAGTGGAGGGTCAGACTGAAAAAGGAAGCCCTCCAATTAAACGGATTGGCACAGAGGCAGTGACGATGGGCTCAAGCGTAGCAACAATTGTGAGGTTGGCCCAGGATGGAGCAGTGTTTCTTTCTGTTGTGCACAAAGTCTCTATGAGTTGGTACCAACTTGATGGCACCTAACAACAAAAACATGGACTGTTAAAAGAACAAACACATCTGTGTTGGAAGAAGTACAGTCAAAATGCTCCTTAGAAGCCAGGAAGGCCAGACTTCATCTCTAATATTTCAGACATATTCTCAGGTGTGGCCATTTCCTGGTAAGGACATCATGGTTGGTTAAGTGGAGGGTTAAGTGGAGCGAAAAAGAGGAAGACCCTCAATGAGATGGATTGGCACAGTGGTAGCAGCAATTGGCTCAAACATCACAATGATTTTGAGCTTGGCACAGGACAGGGCAGTGTTTTGTTCTGTTGTGCCTAAGGTCACTGTGAGTTGATGCAGACTCAAAGGCACCTAACAACAGCAATGCCTTGGATATTGATGTTTATGCATTCCATTTCATTTCTGACAACTTCCACTTTTCCTAAATTCATACTTCGTACATTCTATGTTTTGATTATAAATGGATATTTACAGCGGTTTCCTCTCATTTTGAGTTGTGACTCATCAGCAAATGAAGGTTCTGAAAGCTTGGTCAACACTTTTGAGGAGGCAGCTCTTACTAGTCTTATATTGAGTGTCTTCCAACCCGAGGAGCTCATCTTCCAGCATGGTATTTAACATTTTTCTGGTGCTATTCATAATGTTTCAGTATTCAATATTCTGGTGCTTTCTGACAGTGTTCCACTGCTATTCAACAGTTTTCAGTGACTAAATACTTGGAAGTAGTCTGTCTCTTCTTCCTAATCTGTCTTAATCTGGAGCTCAGCTGAACTCTGTCCACTATGGGTGATCTTGCTGGCATTTAAATGAAAATCTGGCATAGTTTTCAGAAAGAACACGACCTTGGTGCACACCTTTCCAATTTTAAACCATTCAGTGTTCCCTTCTTCTGATCGAAGAGCTGCCTCTTTGTCTATGTACAAGTTCCTCATTCTCCTCCAACACCATAAGTCAAATGCATCAATTCTTATAGTGTCTTCTTTATTCATTGTTCAACTTTCACAAGCTATTATAATATGAAAAACACATAGTCAAGTGGTGGAGACTGTTTTACTTCCCTAAAAATACTTTCTTGCTTCTGAGCATTTCTTAAAATTTTTCTTTAAAAGTTTTAAAATTTTATTATTATGACATAGTATACATTCAATGAAATCTAACTCACTCGTTTTAATATTCAAATTGAACTCCTCATTGTAAATATAGCTTGACTTATTTGAACACTTTTCCATTGTTCTTGTTATTGCAAAGTGCTGTCCAGTAGGTTCTGATTCATAGCTACCCTATATAGAGTTTCTGAGGAGTGGCTAGTGGATTTGAGCCATCAACCTTGAGGTTAGCAGTCCACTGCTTATTCAACAGCATCGCACCTGGACTCCATTGGTAGAGATGAACTCTATCTTTATATCTTATCCATTGCAAATGATGTCACAATAAACATCCTTCTACACATATCTGGGTGCATCTTTAAAGAAATATTTAAGATCCATTTCTAATGGAGTTGTTGTTCATAAGCTACTCATACTCTGTTTTCAAAATAGAAAGGACAGATGCCATATAAATTATTCTTAAACACTTTCTTCTTCCAAAAAATGCTTAGAAAGTCACAGATATTTCAATACTGTAATTTTGCCATGCAGTCTAAAAACATAATCAAGTTCAAGATCCCCCTGTTTCTTCTAGACCATTTGATTTAGTAAGATTATGGACTCTTACTAAATCTGATTATCCTGACTTTCCATTACATTGATAGCATTTTGGTTTTTGTGAATCAAATTTATTACATTTCTTTGAAGCACTTACCTGTTTACATAAAATATGAAGATTTTTTTGGTTTCCATAAAAAATGTTATAGGTCTTCAATAAAGAATTAAGTTGTTGTCTGAAAAAAAAAAGAAGAATGTAATCACAATCAGTCTTAGGCTTTTTCACAGCAAAAGGCAATAATGGTGTTTCAGTTCATAAAGGTATGACACAGAAATGGTTCAATGAAATCTTTACTGCTTTACTGTTCTATGATGTAATGATAATGTTGTTGTTGTTGTTATGTGCCGTGGAGTCGGTTCCAACTCATAGCGACCCTGTACAAGGTTTCCGAGGCTATAAATCTTTACGGGAGCTGAAAGCCTCCTCTTTCTCCCACAGAGCAGCTGGTAGTTTCTAACTGCTGACCTTGCGATTTGCAGCCCGATTCGTAACCACTACGCTACCAGTGCAATATTTAGCCAGCCTAAATGAAGTACTTACTATGTGTCCAAAAATTTACTTCCCTCTGGATATGTAGCAGTGGTTAAGGAATGGTGGCTGCTCCCTTCTTTTGGCATTTGGAGTCTGGGCTTTGAAACTTTAGCCCTTACCTTGCTTCTACTCTTCCCTTTGTGGTATCACAGTTTGAGATACTTATCCTGCTCCACAGGTTCAAATTATAATCCCACAGAAAAGAGGTGTTTTCTTGTACTTGAACTGAGTAATTGAAATATTGGTAAATGTTAAGCTTAATCCATGCAGAACAGGCATAATTTATAGATAACAGGTTCTGCTAACTAAACAAATGGATTGATCTAGTTTCTGTATTTATCTATGAGTATATTTCATCCATTTATGCTTATTCTTACATTAAATTTCTCACTATTTAAACAAACACTTTTTAGCTCTTAGAGAAAATATTGGCAGGAGAGTCACAGGATCATGACCAGAAAATAGAGACAGAAGGTATTAAAGTACAATCCCTTTATAGTACAATGAAGGAGCCCTGGTGGCACAGTGGTTAAAGCACTTGACTGAAGCTCAAAAGATCAGCAATTTAAACCCACTAGTTACAATCTGCTTCCATAAGAATGGTAGTCTTTCACGTGTACTAATGGACCACTTGAGCCCTAGTCTTCATGACACTGAGACCAGAAGAACTCAATAGTGCCCACCTACTACGGAAGTGCAGCCAGAGTGCTCCTTGGAGGCCAGGATGGCTAAACTTCGTCTCTCCTACTTTGGACATATTGTCCGGAGGAAACAATCGCTGGAGAAGGATGTTATGCTGGGTAGGGTGGAGGGTCAGAGAAAAAGAGGAAGACCCCCAACGAGATGGATCAGCCAGGTGGCATCATTGATGCACTCAAGTGTGGCAGCGGTAGTGAGGTTGGCCCAGGATCGGACATTGTTTCGTTCTGCTGTGCATGGGGTCGCTATGAGTCGGTTCCGACTTGATGGCACCTGACAACAACAACAACAACAACTACTGCCAACTGCTCTGAAAGGAATCACAATAGGAAGTCCTGGATGGAGTGGGAGAAAAATGTGAAACAAAGCTGAAAATAATGATAAGAAAAAGGCCAGACTTGCTGGTCTGATAGAGACCTGTGGAACCCCCAAGACTACAGTCCTCAGTCAGCTTTTGACCCTTCAAATCACCTTCATGGCTTAACTTTCAGTCAAACAATAGACAAGTCTATAAGATGAAAAACAACACCAGTGAACTCACTTTAACATCCAACCAAAGGAAATCAAAGAGTAGCATTTGCCAAGGGATGAAGCTCAGGAGGCAGGAAGGGATAAGGAAGAAGTATGAATGGAAATGGTAAACACAAGAGAAAACTATAAGTGTTGTTACATTGTGGAGATTACAGTCAATGTCAGGAATTAAAATGTGAACAATTTGTTAAGTTGGAAACCAATTTGCTCTGTAAACGTTCACCTAAATTACAATAAAAAGTTAAAAAGAAAGAAAGAAAATATACAAACACATAAATGGAAAGGCAGATCATCAGACCCATGAACATCAATCAACAGCAATGAAGCACAAAAGAATGAAGAATGCCTGGGGTTACTGACAAGGGAGAAACTGCCACAGTGAGGACCTTGATTGGGACTGTTATCTCTAGAACTTAGAGAAAATAAAGTTCCATTCTTAAAAAAAGAAAAAGATTACAGTCTCCGTAACTCAATGGAGCAGGTCATTATGAATCCAAATCAACTTCATGGCAATAAGTTTGGTTTGGGTTTGGAGTTCTGGTATGGCACCATAGGCTAAGCACTAGACTTCAAGGTTGGTTTGAACTGCAAGGTCAGTGGCTCAAACTCACCAGCCACTCCTCGGAAACCCTATACAGGATCACGGTGAGTCGGAACCAACTTGCAGCACAGAACAACAACAAGAAGTGTATAATGGAGTAAATCATAACCAAGGAGGTCATCAGGCTGCCCCACAGATAAACAGAATCAAGACGGCCCTACTCTTCAGGCTCCCAAGTTTTTTTTTTTTTTTTTTTTCTCAACATTTCTGACTTTTATGCAATATATATAAAGGAAAACCAATCAATAATTATACAATAATTCTCATAGAACCTCAACCAGATCTTCACATACAAAGGAAATTTCATATAATAAAATCCCAAAACACTATTCCTGTGGTGATGAGAAACTATGTTAAACTCTTATCACACCTGCTTTGTCTCACCAATTATCAGAGACCCACCTTTTGTACTATTCTAAAGAAAAGGAGCTCTGGTAACGTAGTGGTTAGGAATTGGGTTGCTAATCTCGTGGTCAGAAGTTCAAAACTACCAGCTGTTCCATGGGAGAAAGATGAGGCTTTCTGCTCCTGTAAAGATTTACAGCCTCAGAAACCCTGTACAGGGTCGCTATGGGTCAGAACTGACTCCACCGCACACAACAACAATGAAAGAACACAGAGAAGTAATATAGCCACTTCTGGGCAATTTATAACAAAAGGCAAATACTAATATTTACGGAGCTCCAATTATGTGCCTTAGGATGATCTATGTACTTTACACATATTGTATTACGTTGTACACATTGTCTCATTAAATCCTCATTAAAACACTGTAAGACTTGTATTATGCTTAAGAAATTGAAGTTTCATAATAATCTTACCAAATATAAACCAAAGTTTATAATTTTACTAGGGCCACATAGCTAGGAGGTAGCAGAACTAGATCTGAATCCAGGCTGCTCAATTATAGAACCCATAGTTTTAACCACTCCTATAAGCAGCCTTCTGAAGAGAAATACATTAATTTCTTCCTCTGAGAGCAGATTTACCTGTCAGTATAGTCTATGTCTGTCCAATTTTTGTTTTCCCTTGTAAAGGATTCACAGTACTTAGTAATACCACAGTAGAGAATTAGATTAAAAGATATCCATGAACTGATGGTTTTTGAGAGTTATAAAATCAAACCCAAACCCAAACCCACTGCCCTTAAATCTATTCTGACTCTTAGCTACCTTATAGAGTGTTTCTAAGACTATAAATCTTTCTGGGAGCAGACAGCCTCATCTCTATCCTGCAGAGCTACTCATGGGTGTGAACCACTGATTTTGTGGTTAGCAACCCAATGCCTAATTCACATTACCACCAGGGCTCTAAGAGCTATGTAAAGCAACACAGAATGCCATTTACAAATGGCAAATGAATGTCTAGAACACAGAAGGAGCATCTGAACTCTTTAATGGGCCATGGTTTGTGTAAAATAGTCTTGATTAAACTGTTCTTTCTATTCTGACATCTGGGAAGGATATTATTTTAAACTATGAGATTGTAGGAACAATGATTTATTGGTGATTAGAAGTACCAGAGAAAGTCTAATATTTTACAGAACATATAAAAGCTAGAGAGGTGGTAACAGTGATGGTTGGGTGCTGGGTAAAAGGAAAGCAAATTATTTTGTGAAACTCAGATAACAGATAACTGACTTGCCAGGATGAACAATGAATTGTATTACTGCTATGTCTCATGAAATGCTTATTGAAAATGATATTTGGCAGATCCATGACTGACCTTGGGTAATAGCAAAACCAATCATATTGTTAATTATGCCCAGTATGGCAAACTGAAGAGGAATGGCATTGCATTCCAGTTAATAGCATTATTGTTCAAATCTACCAACTATACTAACACCAGTGATGAAGAAATTGAAGGATTCTACCAACTTCTTCAGAGCCCTGGTGTGGCACTGGACTGCAAAGTCATTTTGAACCATAAGGTCGGTGGTTCAAATTCAATAGCCGCTCCTCAGAAACCCTATTCAGGGTAACTATGGGTTGGAACCAACTCAATGTCACTTAACAAAAACAACAACCAACTTCTTCAGGCTGAAAGTGACCAAACATGCAATAAAGATACATTGATAATTACTGAATGGAATGTGAAAGTTGTAAACTAAGCGAAAAGTCCAATAGTTGAAAAATATGACCCTGGTGATAGAAATGATGCTGGAGATTGCATGATAGAATTTTGCAAGACCAATGACTCGTTCATTGCTAAACCTTTTTAAAGTAACATAAAAATGACTATACAAATAGATCTCACAGAATACACAAGAATCAAATTGACTACAAGTGTGGAAAGAGAGGATGGAGAACCTCAATAGTATCAGCTATAACAAGGTCCAGAGCTAATTGTGGAACAGACCATCAATTGTTCATATACAAGTTCAGACTGAAGATGAAAAAAGTTAAAATGAGTCCATGGCAGACCAAAGTGGATGTTAGAAGAGACTCTGAAACTTGCTCTTAAACATAAGGAAGTTAAAGACACTGGTGTGGTGCTATAGGATCAGCACTAGACTGCGAACCACAAGGCCAGCAGTTCTAAGCCACTTGCTGCTCCTAGGAAACTCTTATAAGTTGGAGCTTTCATACTAAATCCTATCCTATCTTTCAAGGTCGTTACTCCAGTTATTCTCCTTTCTCAGCTCTGGAGCATTACATCTTACTTTTTTGAATAATTCCCTTCAGCATGTAATTGCTAGCAGCCACCAAGTCAGCCTAGAACTCATGGTGACCCTATCTACAATGGGATCAGACCATTGTTATCCACAGAGTTTTCATTAGCTAATTTTCAGAGTCCTGGTGTGGTGCTATGGG